CACCACCATCACCACCACCACCACTGTCAACGCCAGATCCATCATAGTCCTCATCTTCAAATCCACCGTTCGCAGCGCCATCACAGCGTTCTCAATCCCCATCGCCACCGCCCACCAACACCATCATCAGACGACCGCGTTGCAGTCAATTCTGTTCACCAGGCTCGTCTTCATCAAAAATAATAGTAATCTTCTTCCTGGGTATGTTCCTACATGACATGATCACGCTCAGAATGCGAACCGACATCAAGAAGACTCAGCATCACGGAAGCACAGTTCTGGATTCAGGATCGACCCTACAACACAAGATCCTATGCCCAACAAGAAACCATTGCTCCTCCTGCGCCTGACGGAGGGAACTGACTTGCGAAGCCACGACCTGTCCACGAGGTTGGACAGCGGCGGCCACTATTAACTAGTGCTAGTGCCAATACTACATCTAACAATGCTACTATCGCTATGACTCTCCAAACCAACTTCTGGTATCTTACTGATATCAAAAGATCACAGGTGTAACTTCTGATACTTCTGCCAATTTCCGAGTTTGTAAGTTACCTATGAATTATTGATCTTGTGCTGGTAAAGGCTTGTCATACCTTGTCCTTAGTGAAGCTGCGCTTCTAGAAGGACTACCGGACCGCCATGTTGCCGTACGTGCTACTCTTGCAGCTGGTGGCGACACGTCTCGACCAAGATTCGCAGAAGCTCTCGCGCTTTTGCAAGCCAGGCCCCCTTTGTCTTAGACCTCCTAAAGCCCTAAACCCCTGAAGCCCTAAAGCCCTCTAAAACCCCTAACTGAAGAATCCTGGCGTCGGCCTGGTCCAGTTTCGCCAGCTCCGCCTTCATGTCGAAAACGGCCTGGTCGGAAGGGCACCCAGCTGTTTAGGGCGAGGAGGGTTCGGCTGCAGGGGCCAAAAGGTTTAGGGTTTAGGGTTTAGGGGTTTAGGGGTTTAGGGTTTAGGGTTTAGGGGTTTAGGTTGCTGAGGGCCAAAGGATTCAAGAATAACCTATACACCCCAATTCAAGACTCGGTAGGCCCCTGCGCATACCCTGAACCCGACACGTTGAGAAGAAGGCGCCCCCAGGCCTGCGCTGTCTTGCCTGTCTGGATAGTCTGCACATCGCTCACCTGTCAGACCCGAAACTGTTTAAGGGCTGTCTACAACACTGCTGAAAACCCTAAACTAAACCCTAAACCCGAATAAAGCGCCAAGCCCTAAGCCCTAAAGTCTAAATCAGACCTTAACCCTAAACCCCTCAACTAAATCAAAAACCCCAAATCAACCGCACCCTAAATCGAAAAACCCCCGAAATCAGACCTTAACCCTAAACCCCGCAACTAAATTTAAATCGAAAAGCCCCCAAACCCAACCCGAAGAAAGCGCCAAGCCCTAGAATCTAAATCAGACCTTAACCCTAAATCCCGCAACACCACCCTACATCGAAAACCCCTCCAAACCCTAACCCGACCTGCCGCAACTAAATTAAATCGAAAACCCCTCCAAATCCCGAAACCCGACCTGCCGCAACTAAATTGAATCGAAAACCCCTCCAAACCCTAACCCTAAAGCGCCAAGCCCTAAAATCTAAATCCGACCTTAAAAACTATACTCCTCAACTAAATCGCAAACCCCTCCAAATCCCCTAACCCGACCTGCCGCATGACCCGGCCCTCGGAGTCTCTCAGCTCCGTGTTCTGCGCACGGGCCGCGGACTCCAGGCGCTCGGAGACGGCGCTGAGGTTCGTCTGGGCCGCCAGAATCTTGCCTCGGCTGCTTCGGGGGGTTTTTTGGAGGGTTCTTGGGCTTTTAGGGCTTTATGGGGTCTATTTGGGCAGTTTCTCTGAATTTGGGTCCTTTTTAGGTCGCCAATATAAATAAATAAATAAATAAATAAATTCATATATATATATATATATTTATATATATATATGTATATGTATGTATGTATATATATATATATGTATACATACATACACGGTACCCTTACTCCCCAAAGGGACCCCAATTTAGATAACTACCCATTTAGGGTTGCGGTCGGAAGTCTGGGGGTTTTGGGGGGGGTTTAGGCTTTTGGGGGTCTGCGGCTTACTGGCTTGGTGCTTACGGGTTTAGGGTTTAGGGGTTTAGGGCTTAGGGGTTTAGGGCTTAGGGGCTTAGGGGTTTAGGGGTTGAGGGGTTTGGGGTTTAGGGCTCAGGGTCTACAGGGCCTGTACAGGGTTTTGAGGGAGTTGGGGGGTTAGGTGTGGTGTTGGCAGCCTTGGGGGGTCCCTCATCCTAAACTCCACACTCCACGCCGCAAACCTCAACTCAAGACGGCTTTGGCGGTTTAGGGTTTAGGGTTTAGGCTTTAGGGTTTAGGGTTTTAGGAACAGAACCTTTACATGCAAAAGCATCGCCTGGCACACCAACTCAGTTCTGCAATGCAGCCCACAGGCACTGTCTCTCTGGGTACTGGGGCTGACGTGGATGGGACTTCGGGTCCCATGCTCCTAAGCCTGACAATCTAGAACCACAACACAGGATAATGTAGGAATAGGGTTTTGAATGTATTCTACTATAAAATGTATGAGGACCCCCAAAATAGTATGGGTAATTATTCACGCCCCTAATTACTAGCCGCACAAACCGCAGATCCCCATCGGCCTAAACCCGAAAACCCGAAAATCACAAACTTCCAAACTGTCACACCCCCCGAAGCCACAAACCAAAGCCCAGCGGCGATCGAGGTCGTCAATCTGCCTCTGCGCCGCCTGCCGACCGACACGAAGCCCTCTGCAAGCCCTGCATGCTACCGCTGCGGTTCTAGGTGCTCCTAGAATTTTAAGCCCCAGTTGTAGTATGCAAGTTGTGGTAGAAACCCTAAACCCTAAACTCTAAACTCTAAAACCATAAGGTGTATGGTGTAGTGGGCCCAGCCCCCGCCTCAAGGCCATCTGATAAGCGTCTCGCCACGCCCTTGGTCTCCCCATCCAAGTCGATGCTGAAGTCCTCCATTTTGGGGGTTTGGAGTTTTTTAGGGTTTAGGGTTTAGGGGTTTGGGTCCCTGAACCCTAAGCCCTGTAGAGCCTTGGCAGCTGATGGAAGCTCGGTGTATTTCGAACCTTGCTCTCAACCTGTGCGTGGGTTGTAGCCCAGCGAGCAGCTCATGAACGACCGGAACGTTCACCTCCCAAACCCCTAAACCCTGAACCCTAGAACCTAAACCTCTAAACCCTAAACCCCCAAACCCTAAGCCAATACCCCTAAACCCGAAACCCTCAAACCTCTAAACCCTCAACTCCATAGTACCTTACAGGAACCCCTAAAACTAAGCCTTACAGAAACCATACAGAACCCCTGAACCCTAAACCCTAAACCCTCGCCCTAAAAAAAAAAAGAAAACCTGAAGCCCTCATCACTAAGTCGACCCGAGAGTCCCTCTTCGCTTCGTGGATCTGGTCCGAAAGCTTCCTCAAAAACTTCCAGGAGTTTAGGGCTTTTAGAGTTTAGGGTTCAGGGTTTAGGGTTTAGGGTTTAGGGCGGTTTAGGGTTTAGGGTTTTAGGGCCTAGGGTCTAGGGTTTAGGGTTCAGGAACTCGAGCTCGCAGGATCATGGGACTTAGTAACTAGGGTTATAAGTACCCCCTTAATTGGGGGGCGATAAGTCACTATAACTGTAGCTACCTGATATCTTACCCCAGCTACTACTAAGGCTCAAGACCTTCTAGGGGCTTTCTAGGGGGTCCTTATCACAAGTAGTGTGAAAGGTTCCTTAAGGGGCCACTTTAAGGATTCTTTAAGGGGTGTGGGTTGCAACACTGGGTGTTTTAGGGCTTTCCAAAGCCTTTGCTGGGCTTTCAGAAAGTTTATAGGGGTTTCGGGTTTAGGTTGAGGTCCGAGCCTGTGTCACCCTATTCCTAAACCCTAAACCCCTAACCCTTAACCCTACTGAACCTTCACAAACGCCCTGGAAAGCATCAAATGAGGCCCAAGCGGCGCCCAAAATACGATCCTACACCCAGGTAGGTATCATCACGAACCCAATCACCGGGTCCTTTAGGACCCTTAGGCAAAGCTCATTAATGTAGGAGTCGGAACGACTGGTGTTTTCATTCCTTAGGCTTTGGACTCCTTCATTTAAGTAAAGTAGAAGACAACTCGAAACCCAAAACCCCATTCTAATCATTAAGCCTCCTACATACAACCCAAAGCCTTCAAGGTATCCTTAAAGGAACCCTTTAAAGGAGCCCTTTCAAGGAACCCTTTGACAAAGAACCCTCAAATTAAGTGCGGCCCAAGAGGCGCAGACTCCTTGATCCACGCGGCCTGAGCCTTCTCAAGTGCCAGGCCCAAGCGAGAGATGACGCCCTCGGAACGCTGTTGCTCCTGTGAAGAGGGTTGGGGTTTAAGTTTTAGCGTCTAGGCTTCCTTTATGGGGGATGATGCCCCACACCATAACCCTATGGCTCCGTGTACCTGTACAGTAAATACCCTCAAACTAAAGGCTCCTATAAGGGTTCCTGTCAGGGGTACTACTTGAGGTTCTGGCTCCAAACTGGCCCCAGCCATCTCGACCGAGGCTAGGAGTTTAGGGATTAGGGTTTAGGGTGTAGGGTCCTGTCATGTGTTCAACTCTTAGCAAGTTCCTGCTGAACTACTTTCAGGACACCGCCAGGGCCACCAAGTGGTACCGCAGGGTACTTCAGAGCATCGAAGTGACAACTCGGAAACTGTACTATAGGAAGGGTACTGGTGTAGGTGCATTATACAACAGAATTATATATGTATATATATATATATGTATACACATAGCGCTGCATGGGTATCGTTGCTAGTAGCACAAATTATTCCGACCTCTACGTGAACGAAAAATCCCTATAGCTTCAAGCATACAGATCCTCGATGCGGGCGTTCTGCTCAGCGACCAAGGCCCGTTCGGCATCGCCCAACTTCGCCTGGAGGTGCTCGTGGCGCATCTGGAACCTTGTCGGTGTTTGGTTCAGTGACGGGGGATTCGGTCGGTTAGGGACCTGCTTTTCGTAGGGTCCTGTCCTATGATCAACCCCTAGTAAACCTAGTATCGAATCGACTTTACAAGGACATATAAAAGCCTGCGGTTGATTAAGGAGTGCCACCCCTGAAGCACCAAACTAAACGGCCCTAAGGGCTGCGGCACCGCATTTCACCTTACACCTTGAAGCTTCCGCGCGGTGGCAATGGACTATCCGTTTTGACATGCAATGGATGTATGTCACTAGAAACCTTAAACCCTAAACCCTAAACCCTAAATCATGAACTAAAAGCACTCCCAGGAGCTGCGTCCAGAACTCGTGCTTATCCTCCTCGCGCTGCTGTTGCTGCAGGGAGCGTAGCTGGGCAGCGATTTTGTCCTGCAGCGGAATAGTGGGCGAAGGGAACATGTAGGCGATTCTCAAAACGTAGGTCACCTGATATCAGGGTCCTGGTGCTACAAAGCATGGTCCATTTCACTGTCCTTGTGCTACAAAGTATGGCCCTAAACCCTAAACCCGAAACCCCATTTTTCCTTGTCGCCTTTCTGAAAATCCCGTAAAAAGCCGTCTTGAAAGGGCCCACACCCGAAACCCAAGGTCTGCGCAACTCTAAGATGAACGCCGACCTCAAACTCTACACTTAAATGTCCGAAAGCTAAGGGTTTAGGGTTTAGGGGTTTAGGGGTTTTGGGGTCTAGGGTTTAAGGTTTAGGGTTTAGAGGTTTAGGGGTTTAGGGGTTTAGGGTGTAGGGTTTAGGGGTTTAGGGTTTTAGAGGTTTAGGGTTTATAAGGTTTAGGGTCTGGGGTTTAGGGCACAAACTCTAAGCCACGGCCGTACGAACTCTTAGCCATAGCCCCAAACCCGAAACCCCAAACCCCGAACACGACGACGAAAGAATGCTGCAGACTTCAAGCTCGCTCCGCTTACTCCTCATTCAACCCTTGAAAGCTTACCACCAACCACCCGATATCGTAGCCCCTAACAAACCTTTTGAGGAGCATGAGGATCTAGAGTTTGGGAATCTGTAGACCCTCACAAGATCTCTCTGTAAACCCTCACAAGATCTCTGTAAAAAGGCATCCCTAGACCCAAGCCCAGACCCAGACCCTAAACCCTAAACCCTAAACTAAAGCCCTAAACCCTAAACCCTAAACCCTAAAACCCTAAACCCTAAACCCTAGACCCTAAACCCTAAACCCGGTCCTTGGAGTCCAAGATCTGCTGCAGAGCCCCAAGGGATGCTTTGCATTCGGCCACCACTCCCTTGCAGCAGGGCTCTAGGTTAGGCAGGTTAAGGTTTTGGGGTTTAGGGTTTAGGGTTAGGGTTTAGGGTTAGGTTCCGGGGGTTCTTTGGATGGGGATGGTTTAGCTTAGTTTGGTGCGAAGGAGCCCAGAATCTGAAGCCAACCCGTACGGATTAGACTGATTTAACCCTAAACCCTAAACCCTAAATTTAGGGCTTAGGTTTAGAGTGAAACCCAAAGGAGCGATTCCCCTACATCCGAGGCCTCCAACACCCTTCCAACCAAAAGTTCCACGCCTCGTTGTCCAGTTGCCCGAGAAGACCTCCCTAAACCCTAAACCCCTAAACCCCTAAACCCTAAACACTAAACCCTTTAAACCCCCTAACCCCTAAACCCTAAAAAAAAACAACCCGAAACCTCAAGTGCCTGGTGCTCTTCCCAGAGCTCGCGTGCCGCGCTGAGCGCAGCTTCCTGCACTCCATGGAGGCGCTTGTTGCCTTGGCTTAGGAATTCAAAGGGGGCACCCGTTAGGGGGGGGTTTTAGGGCGCATGGGGTTTAGGGATTCTAGGGTTTAGGGCATCTGTAAAGGGTTTTAGAGCTTATGGGGCTTAGGGCATCTTGAAAGGATCGGATTTCGGGTTTATGTAAGTGTTCTTTTGGGTTCCTTTGTTTAAGGTTGGGGGCTTGGGGTCTACCAGGACCTCCCAAGAGGGTGAGTTGGGGGTCCTGGCCTTGGGACCCGGTCTAGAGTCCAGCATTGTTCAGGGTTTAGGGTTTAGGGGTTTAGGGTTTAGGGCTTATAAGGTTTAGGGTTTCGGGTCTAGGGTTTAGGGTTAGGGTCAAGGGTTTAGGAGGTATTGCGGAGTTGAATGGATGTAGGGTCGAGGTATTGCGACCCCTCGTGTATCTTGCAAGAGCTCCTTCTGTTGCTGGAAATGCTGCCTTCAGCTTCACTCAACCCTAAACCGGAGACTCACAGACCCAAATCTCGCCTTCAACAGAGACCCTGAACCTTAAGGCCATATGTATCTCTATATATATATATACCCATTGATTTATTTATTTGATGAAGTATTGATGCTAGGCTCTCAGTAATGTAATGTAACGTAACGTAACGTAATGTAATGTAATATAATGTAATGTATATATATATATATACATATGTATGTGTGTGTGTTTGTGTGTGTGTTTATGGCACTAGACCTGGGCATTCAATCTTCCGAGCCTCCGGATCCCACGGTTAAAGTGTTGAGCGAAAGGTGTAGATTTCGGGGATTTCGGGCTCATCGCACACACACACAGATGCAAAGAACAAAACCCTACAAGTACCCAATTCCCCATATTCCCATAGCCCTAAACCCTAAACCCTGGACCCTACTAAACCCTAAACCCTGGACCCTCAACCCTAAACCCCAAGCAGCATACTCCTCAGCCCAGCGTCACATCTCCTCTGCCTCCTCGCAGCGTCGAGAGCACTCGGTCCCATTGCGGTTCAACTGCTCCCGCATCTGCTCGAGCTCCTATCGTGGGAATCCAGGGTTCTCTTTAAGGGATTAAAGGGATCCTTTGAAGAGCTCCTCTAGGGAATCCAGGGTTCTCTTTAAGGGATTAAAGGGATCCTTTGAAGGGATGCCTTTACGGGTTCCTGTTTTAAGAGGTCTGAAGGGCCTCTTTGTAAAGGGGCTTTCTTAAAAAGTTTCATGGGGCCTTGACGGAATTCTTGAAAGTTTGCTCTAAGGGCTTCTATAACTGTACTACAGTAGTGTGGGGTTCATGGTGTTACGGATCTCTTAAAGGGCTCCTAAGGGCTCCTCTAAGGAGTCCATAAGCGCAATGTGAGGGTTAAGAGACATGATAAAGGATACTATGAAGCTTATCTATAAGAGCTCCGGAATCAGCACTGCATTTCGCGGGTCTGCAGATGCTGTTGTTTAGCCGGCGCCTCCGTGGCGAGCTAGGCTAGGGTTATCGGTCTCAGGGCCGGCAGTAGGGTTTAGGGTTTAGGGTTAGGGTTTAGCGCTTTTAGTTTCGAAAACTTCCGAATCAAGAAGTTCGCGCTCGAAAGCCCGAGCTCTTGGCAACCGAATGCAACGTTGCAACAAGTGATGAGAAGACAAACCCTAACGGAACCTGCACACCCTAGACACTGCAACTTTCTGATGCCAACCCCAAACCCGAAATTTGAAAACAAGACAAGCCACATCGTCTGGGCACCCGGCTCACTCGCAACGCCTCAACTCTAGACTCTAGACCCAAAGCGCCAAGCACTACCCCCAAAAGTTCCTAAACCCACTAAACGACTACTTCCCCAAACACCCTCAAACCCCCCTTAGCTCTGAACCCACAGACCTTGACCCCTGAACACCCTTCCATGCATAAACCACGAACCCCAAAGGCCTATAACCCCAAACTCAAGCCACAAACCCCGAACTCAATAACAACCCTCAAACTCTGAACACAAAAAACCTGAGCTTGAATTGGGTTTAGGGACCAACGAAAAGAGCGTAAAGAACCCATGACCCTAAACTTCCCTAAACCACTAAGCCCAAAAACCAAACCCCAAAACCCTACACCCGTAAAGGAAGCGCCTCCTTCAACTGCTGCACCGAAGGCTCCAGGGAGGAGAAGCGAGCTTCGTAGCGCTGAGCCTCCTGTGCAGGTTGGGTGGTCTACTTTAGACCTCTTATATGTATGTATATATATATTTATATTTATATTTATATTTATATTTATATTTATATTTATATTTATATTTATATTTATATTTATATTTATATTTATATTTATATTTATTTATTCATTCATTTATGTATTTATTTATAAAGAGAGAGAAAGAGAGAGAAAGAGAGAGAGAGAGAGAGAGAGGGAGACCTTCAACTACCATCAAAAGACAAGGGCTAGGGTCACAATCACTGAATCACGCAACGCGTTTGCGAGTATGGCTCCTGCTCATCTTGAGCCACGTTCTGCTGAAGCTTCTGATGTGCAGCGACTGCCTGCTGTTGCTGGCGGCTGCCCAGCTCCTGGACCATGTCATGTCATTTTTTAGGGCTCCGCTTTATAGATGTACTGTAAACCGCAAGTGCCTAAGCATTCTATGATATGAAGTTTACCAGGCCCATGGGTCCCCTGGACACCGATATCATTAATTATACTACTCTATATCATTTGATGTGATCTAGTGTAACATAACACCTCGTTAAGTAATACCATAGGCTCCTGGACCATGTCGTTCAGCTGCTTCAGCTGCTCTGCCGTCTCCACTCCCAGGGCCACCCGCGCGCTGGCCTCGCGAATATAGGGGCCATAAAAATTTGATTGTTTTTTGGGTACATGTTGTTGATATATGTGTGTATATATATATCTATTTATTTATTTATTTATCTATTTATTTATTTTCTTTTCTTTTATGTATTTATTTAATTTATATATTTTTATTTCTGTATTTATTTATTTTTATTTACTTCTTTATTTGTTCTGTTTATTTATTGATTTATTGACTTATGTATTTATAAAAACTTTTTAAAAGTTTTTACACACATACATACACAGACGAATGTATGTATATACACACATATGTGTGTATATATGATGAATGCGGCAGGGCTGCCAAACCCCCCTCCCCGCCCCCTGTGGGATGGTACCCTTCCCCGCCGCATCCCCCGCCCCTGTTGTTTCGTTGTTGTGGTGGGGTCTGCAGCCCCCTTTGAGGCTTTGGTTGGTCTGAACTGGAGTATGCAACACATCTAACACAAGCACCTCTGGTCACTACTGTTACGATTACTCTTTATCTTCCTTCTTGCTGTGGCACCTGTAACACTGCTCATGATGTTGTGCTGCTCTAGACGGCGACGCGAGTCGACAATCGGATCATCTTTGATGCTCAACATCATCATTGTCGTCGGCATCTTCATCATCAGTACCATCAAAAGAATCGCTGCCACCATCACCATCGACATACAACCCTCATAATTAAGCATTGTAGTTCATGTCTGTTGCGGGAAACTACTGC